TGGACATGGAGAATGCTACAAGATCAGGTCAACAGACTTGGCCCTAGAAAAGAGTCCAAGGCCAGGTTTTCCGTCTCCAAGTATAAATGTTACTCCTGTCTGCTGCCCCTCAACAACAATAACTAGCATTTACTGAGCACTACCTCCTAAGTATTATACCTCATGTTTTCAGAGACATTTCTCTTTTCATCTGTACAATGACCCTATGAGTAGGTATTATTTCCATTTTATAGACAAGGAAACTAAGTTACAGAGAGCTATAGAAACTTACACAAAGTCACATGGATTCTAAGTTCTGTCTCTTAAGATGATCTTCAGTTCTCCACCAGGCCATGTCAGACAGACCTGAAGAATCTGAAGTCCTATTTCTGGGGTCTCTGCTGAAGGACCAAGAGCTGCTTTAAAGTTCAAAGTTCAAAACTGGCCACTGAACCCCTCAGACTCCACCACCACCGGCAGTCAGAATCTTTTCTCTGTAGCTGAGAACACAAATACATCCTCAGGGAAGAATGGACCTTGTATATCAAAAGTTGTCAGACTAACGACAGTGAGAGCTGCTCTGAGTTGCACCAACAAACTGATTGCATTTGAAGAGTAGTTTTTGTAACACACACAGACAATCAGAAACTTCCCTTCAGTCAATCACTTAATGTTTATCGGGTGCCCACCACCATGAGGCTGGCACTGAGCATGCAAAGATGAACAAGACTTCAAGGAGCTTACAGACCTAGTGGGTGAGGCAGATACATAGCCCAGCTATTGCAATGCCCTCCAACAGATGACAAGAAAGCATAACATATTTGGCACTAGGGGGACAGAGAGGAGAGGCATCTCTGTTGAACAGTTTTAGGAAAAACATTAAAATCTGGGGTGGGGAGAGGGGGACACTTAGATGTTATAATTTGCTTTTCTTTTCCTATTGTCACAAAATACTTAAAAGGATCTCAGATCTATTTCTGGTTTATACCTAAAAGAATTGGAAGCAGGGACTCCAAAAGATATTTGCACATCCGTCACACAGAATTATTCACAATGGCCAAAAGGTGGAAACAACCCCAGTGTCCATCAACAGATGAATGGATAAAAAAAATGTGACATATACATACAATGGAGTATTATTGAGCCTTAAAAAGAAAGGAAATTTTGACACATGCTACAACAAGGATGCACTTTGAAGACATGATGCTGAGTGAAATAAGCCAGACACAAAAGGACAAATATTTTACGATTTCACTTATGTGAGGTACCTAGAGTAATCAAATTCATAAAGACGGCAAGTAGAATGGTGGTTGCCAGGGCCTGGAGGGAAGGAGGAGATTTTGGTTAGTAGATACAGAGTTTCAGTTCAGGAAGATGAAAAAGTTCTAGAGATGGATGGTGGTGATGATTGCACAACAATGTGAATGTATTTAATGCCACTAAACTGTATACTTAGAAATGGCTAAAATGGTAAATTTTATGTCATGTATATTTTACCAAAATAGAAAAAAGGACCTCAGTCTAACTCATTGATTTTACAAATGAGGAAACAGGTCCGAGGCAAATTGCTCAAAGGCACACAGCTCCTTGAGCAGAGAGTAAAATACAGACCCCTGACACAGCGCTCTTCTGCCTGCTGCATATGATGATAATAATTCATACGGCATTTTGTGCCAGGTGAGATTCTAAGCGCTTTATATACATTGACTCATTCAATCCTCGCAACAACCCATGAGGTAGGTTTTGTTTCTCCCTATTTTAGAAGTAGGAAAGTGAAGCATACAGAATTTACATAATCTGCCAAATGACCCAGTTAGTAAGTGACAGATCTACTTACTGGCAACAGAGTCATGCACCTAACTACTACACTGCACTGCCAGATCTTAGTTTTCATGTCCTGCTCTCAAAGGCAGAATTCTGTCCATCCTTAGGACAATAGATTGCAAAAATGTCCCCAATTCTTCACACCTCTCTTATCCACGCCCTCTGCAACATGACTTTGTAGCTCACCCCATCAAGAGGCAGAATCTACTTCTCCACTCCTTGAATCTGGGCTGGACTTGCAATTTGCATTGGCCAACGAAATATGGTGGAAGTGATGACCAACTAGTTTCAAGCCTAAGCCTCAAGAGACCTTGTATGCTTCCTCTTTTTCAGAACCCTGCCACTGACATGAGATTAGGTCTAGGCTAGCCTGCTGGAGAATGAGAGACCACATGGAGGAGAGCCCAGTTTTCTCCACTGAGGCCATCCAAGACCAGTCTATGTTTAATCAGTCCCCCAACATGTGCCTTATCCACATACTACAAAACTACGAAGGAGAGATTGAAGGTGGAGAGAACACTGTGAAGATACGGCAATTGGCCAAGAAAGACATTGTGAGGGCCTGACCTGAGGTCATGGCAGTAGGGATAGCTAGGACGCAATAGCTATTGGTGACATGCAAGAGCATGGGCTATAGGACTAGACAGTGGATTGAGTGACCAAGGTGAAGAATGAGGGAGTCACAGGGAAAGCTAAGATGATGAGCCCAGGTGACTCACTAGTGAATGATTGGTGTCATCATCAGATACTCAGAATGCAGAAACCGGTTCAACATGTTGATTCTGAAATGCCCTCTTTGGAGTGAATACGTGGAGAACTGCATGTAGATTGAATGAAGCACAGAGTTAAGGCATGAGAAGCCTGTTTGGGGTCATCTGCAGAGAGCTCAATACCCATTTCCTCATTTGTAACATGGAGATGTTGTACTGAATCCTCTTGGATTTTACCCAGCATGAAAACCAGAATTCCTATAATGACTATCTACTGAATTTTGCTTAAAAGTTAAATGGGAATAAATGTAATGAACTTGGATATTGTTTCACTCAAGAATACTGGATTTTCTCCTGTTTGCAATTTTTATTGAGAATTAAGATTTTGTTACTCTTGTATCTATAAGCTTTTGAAAATCTAATACTTCGTCCCCATTTTAAAATTTCATTTCTTACAGTTTACTTTTTTCCTTGTTTTTTTGTTTTGTTTCTGAGACTCAAATCAAAATTGTAAAAGAAAAAAGAAAATGTAGCTAGTATTTATTGCATACCTACTATGTGCCTTGCATCCTGCATATATATATTTCCTCCTTAAAATATAGTCTTGGGAGGAATAGGCAATTTTAACCCCATTTTACAAATGAGGAGATGAGGCTTACAGGTTAAGTAATTTGACCAAAGTTAAAAGCTAACTAAAGTAAAATGAGCTTCATCTTTTATAGGATTTCCTATTAATTGGTGTTTTTATGACAAGGTTAGCTAATAAGAGACGAAGGTAATGTGTTCTGTTTCCCAGAACAGCAGTGTTTGAGAACACTGTTTAAAGATTTATGCTCCTACTCAGAACAGAAGATCTGGTCGTGTTAATAGACGGCATGGAAGAAAGTGCCCATATTGCAGACTGATGAGAAACAGATGTGAATTCAAATCTGAGTTCTGCCATACTTGTTTGTAGCATTTGGCAACCTATTTAGCCAATCTGAGTCACAATTTTCTCAGCTGTAAAATTCAGAATAATAAAAGGTCATTTACAAGGTCATTATGAGATCCAGGAAAGAAGAGAAAAGGAATACATGCAAGCATCTACCCCAACCTAGCAGGGCATTGAATAAACATGTTTTCTTTTTCTTTCCAAAAACTTTCAGGTCCTGGAATTTATCACTGTTATATGGACTTTATGTAAAGAATACTTATCATTTCTCGATTATTATGTTAATGATTAACTTTACTGAATTTGAATTAGCAATGCATATTACTGCTTTTTCGATTTAGCAATGCATCAAGTGATTCCTTTCAAATCTCTGATAAGCGGGTAGCTAAAAACATTGCCATATGAAAATTAATGATTGGTCTGCATGGCATGAAACCATTAAAATTTATAGGGGAAATATGTTCCATATGCTAAACATTCAGCACATTCGGGAAACTAGAAACCCATACCTGCAGCTGACTCACGTGTTCACTCCCAGCACAGTCAGCACCTCTGATCCATTCACTCGTCGTATAATAAATTTCAACTAAACGACATACACATGAACAAAGATTTCAATTTTTAAGTAGTTCTGTCCCTGGGCAGGAGGTGAAACAATTTGTTCATAAGTAAGCAAAGACTCTAGAAAAACCACTGTTTTTAGCTCTTTCATTTTTCCAATGTGACTCCTCTATTCTTTCCTCAAATGCTCTTTTTTTCCCCATCAAAACATCTACTCCAAAAAATATGTGATTACTTCATCCTCATTAAATTGTAAATGAATGATAAAGCCTAATGTCTCCCATGGGTATTTAGCTACACCATAATTGGAATAAGGTCACTGGCTTAAATGAAAGGAATGAGATTCTAGCGATGAATGTTAAGCATCTGCAAAGTAGCAAGAAAGAACATTTTTAGTCATAAAAGTCTTTATGTTGCTCCCCAAGTCAACTCAATAGCCCACCACCAGCACTTAAAACAGGATATATCTATCACATACCCCGTGAGCTCCTTTATCCAGTCCCCCAAAGTACTGATTTCATAAAGTACGTGCTCAGGAACACATGCCGATTAGAGGTACAAGGACCTCATTCTGGCTATGCCACCACCACCACCACCCTACGCCAGCTACCAAACCACTATCATTAGCTTCCTGGGATTCTCAGCCTATGTCCTGGGAGATTATGAAGCCGGGACTTTGTTCTAGCTGCCAGTGTGGGTGAGAATGAGTTCATGCCTAGGAAGGGCCACTGGGGGAGGAGGAGACCTGCCTCATCACCTATGAACCAAGCCCCCCTACTCGGAAAAGAGTTGTCAGTAAAACAAAGGACCATCCCAGCAAAGTAAATTTTAATCTCAGAAAGGAAAATCCTTCCAGGCTGAACAAGTCTCTGTAAAATGATTCCCTCTAGAATCGCTACCTAAAGACTGGTAGTTTTTAACATGAAATTGTCAGTTATCCCCCCAGGCCAAGCACTACCAGGGGAAGATTGCTGAGCTTCCCTAGTGTAACTTACCTGAGATCCATGTCTCCATCAACCCAGAAGGTGAAAATGTTAGAGATGGTTCCCCCTGGGCAGCACCCCATGATGAGAACAGCAATAGCTTGAACTGGCTTCAGAGAGAAGCTGATGACCAGGAGATAGGCTAGAAGAGGCATGAGCCCAAACTGGCAGAGCAGTCCCACAGCAATGCCCCAGGGTCTCCTGATGTGCAGCCATAGATTCCGGATCTCCACAGAGCATCCCAAGGAGAACATAAGCAGGCCCATCATCACGGCTGACACCACTGTGAAAACAAGTTCCAGGTTCCCATGTGCCTCCAGCCCCACTGGCAACTCCTCTTCCGACCTGTTGGCAGGGCATGCTGAACTGCTGGAACAATTTGCTCTCATCTCCTCATCTCCTTAAGGCAGCATTACAAATGAATATCTGCCGCGATGGCAGGGCAGGTCTATCCTGCCACGTTTTGTAATAATGCAACCAAGTCACACGTGGAGAATCATTCCAATAGCTATTGGCCAGACAGGAGATTCATCCTAATCTGATCAATTAATTCATGAGAGGCATTACAAAAGTAATTATCATTGGCATGAAACATATAATAAACTGTGGTAAGTAAGGCTCTCCACTTCTGTTCTTACTCACCACTGAATATCCAAGTGAAATGAGACAAGCAAACTTATTGTCAAGTGGAGTGACTGGGCTATGTCGTCAGCATCACATTGTGTTCCAGGAAAGTAGGGTGGATGCCAACACATAATTTCTCCAAATTCAGTGGGGATTTCAAAGATCCAGGATGCAATGTTTGTAGAAAGAAAGGCTAACTCCGGAAAAAACAAAGGCAGCTAAGCCAAAGCCACATCTCAAAGCATTAGCAAAACATTTTCGTTGAAAATATCAAAGCAAAAGAAGACCAGTTAAGGAAATATTGGGAGGGACTAAGGATAATTTCAAGAGATCTTTGGAATTATTAGTCTGCTTTTCTTCTTTCTATTTCTATTCGAATTTGTGTCTAAAGCCAATAATTATACATTCGTAAGAATAATATGGTATTAAGCACCTGATTATGTCTCATGAAACATGTGGAAACTCATTTCTATACCCAAAATAATTCAAGGGAGCTGTCACTTTCTTTCAGAGAATAGAGTTAGCTTTGAGATGCCACACCTCAGGGCCTCATGTTGAATTGTGCAAGGGAATGTAGGAAAGAGCTTGTCTGGAGTCTGGAGGCAGGGTCTGAGGTCAGCCCCCCAACGCAGTGGCCTGGGGGGCCCTCTGTTCACCCTAACAAGGCACCGTTAGCAAAACCAGACTCGGAAAATATGGTTCTGTGAAACTAAACCTCCAAAAGAGCAGATGACACACCCTTTCTCACAGAGAGTAGAAAGTCTGTGGGACAAGGGTTGGTGACAAGGCACGTTTTATAAACACCTCTACCTATCTTAATAAGGATCCTAGCTATATGTTGTTTATTTTCAGAGTAGCAAATTTTCTTCCATGACAAAATGCTCTGGACATGTTCACTGTATAAATACAAGTCAAATCCAAATGTAAAATAACATCTATTTGAAGAAAGTATAAACTGCCTTAGGAAACACACCCTAAAAGCAGCTCTGAAGGTAGAATCCTGCTGGAGGCCATCAGAAGTCAGCATGAGGACTTGCTGCCACCAACTGTGGTTTTATGCTGCAGAATAAGCCAGTGTTTACACCAAGCTTGGCAAGCCTGTCCGGAGGCAACCCAGAACTGTCTGTAGTGTGTTTACACAGAGCCAAGCAGAGAACTGGATGCTTAGGAATGGGTTAGGCCTCTGGAAAGCTACATGTTCTCAGCTTAAATGATGCAGAGTTGTGGTCGAGCTGAGGAGGAAGGGAGGAGGAGAAGAACTAACATTTTCTTTTAGCACCTACTGGGTGATGAGGGCATGCTAGGTGCTTTATGCATATGTGGCTGTGTCTGATGATGCAGAACTTTTTTTTTTTATTTACTTAGTAGGAGAAAGTATCAGATATTTCTGTCTGGATAATGTTAAAAAGTTCCTTGGCACACCTTCTTTCTTCCTGAAGAGTCACTTGAATGGCCCCTCTTAGTTATGTAACTTTAATTTTAATAAGCACCCCATTCCTGATAGAGCAGATATGATAGGAGCTTTTGTGATCTGCTTGGTACTCAGCACTGACAGCTGGGAGGAGGGGGCTAAATTTGCACAGTGGACTTAAGGAGCCTCCTAGAGGGGAAGATCACCTTGGCCACTACCCTTCTGAAAGTCATTGTTATCAGAATTTCTCAAATGAATTAGGATGGTTCCAACTGACATCCACTGGCAGAAAAAGATACCAAGGTCCAATAACCCACCATGAAAGAAAGGGGTAACTGCACTGGTGACAAGTTCCACTGGATCCAGTCACCTTGGCATGGTTGTCACAGGGCTATATAGGACACAATGACTGAGTATGTGGATGTAATCTGAAGAGAAGTAAACTTGAGAGGCCAAGCTTGGGCATGGCCATGTTGTGTGTAAGCATCTGGACCAGAAGGCAGAGTGGTAAGGGCCCACTGGATTGCGTGGGACCAATTCATTCAAAAGGTCCCAACAAAAACAACAGCAGCTGAAACCAGGGCCTACTAGTGGACTGGTCAGGCTTTTCTGAGTTTCTCTCCGCCTGGAGTTGGGAAGGAGACTCCTTTGGAAGAGTAAGCCCCTGGAGTTTTTCGTTCATTTGTAAATGAGATTTTAAATAGGAGATCCTAAACTTATTGGCAGGTAGGGATTCAATGATCAATCAGAAAAATTTAAAAGGCATGATCAAATTTATACCCCAAGCTAGTGAGGCGGGTCATGAGATCCCATTTAATCTTCACATCCATTTTATGAGGTAAGTACTGTCAGTCCCCACTTCACAGATAAGGAAACAAAGGCCTAGTGGGGCTATGTGACTTGTCCAAGGTCATTAAGCAAGTAAACTGTAACATTGGAATTTAAATTCCAGTCTAATTCTCAGCCTGTCCTCATTTCCATGGAGCACACTGAAGTGGAAGCAGTGGCAAGTAGTCTACAGCCTGATCATGCTGAAGAGACAGACACCAGGGGCCAGCCAGCTGCTGTAGTGGTTAAATTTGTGCACTCCACTTTAGCAGCCCAGAGTTCGCAGGTTCAGATCCCCGGCGTGGACCTACGGACTGCTTATCAAGCCATGCTGTGGCAGGCATCCCACATATAAAATAGAGGAAGATGGACACAGATGTTAGCTCAGGGCCAATCTTCCTCACAAAAAAAAAGACACCACTGTGGGAGATCATGATTTGGCCACCCTGAAATATATCTCTTTACCTTGATTGCTTTCTCTGACGGACATTTGACCTCCCCCACTAACTGCCTAAAGAATTTGACATAGTAACTCCTTCCTGGAACAGATCTTCTATCTGATGGCTGTAATATAATGTAAAATAGATGTTACAATAGAAAAGGCACCAACAAGCCCATCTTATGGGAAGTTCTGTCTCTCTGGCCACATTCTCTGGATGGCCCTGCGAGGAGTTGCCAGACAAACATTTACATTTATAAGGGAAATCTCCATTTGTAAAGGTATCTCCCTCTCTGTATTGGCAAGAGGCCGGATGACCTCATTTCTAGAAACTTATCAATGTGGAAAGTGAGGCCTTAAATCTGCATAATAACCTTACTCTTGTTTACTGTGCTTTAGTGGTAATCTCCTGTAACTGTCTCCCCCCACCCCCAGCATCCTCCTTTGTCTTCAGCTGAACATGGTATTTAAGACGAGAATTTCTGCTATTGTGTTGAGAAACGCAGTGTCCCTGCTTTCTCCCATGTATACATGTTATTAAACTTGGTATTATTTTTTCCTGCTAACCTGTCTTGTTAATTATTTGGCCAGCCATAAGAACCTTAAGGGAAAGGGCAGAGGGGGATTCTCCCTCTTCCCCTACACCACTTAGGCACAGCTCAGGAATAAAACACTAATTGGCATAAAGATGGAGAAATAAACCAATAATCCCTAATCTCTCATTTTATCTTGTATGTTCACAAGCTTAAAGGCACCTGAATATATTCAACATACGCACATCTTAATTTTGAAATCCAGCTGTACAAATCACAGGAAGTATTTCATGTACTTCTACTCTCTGCAAATAGAATTAGGAGTGAAAGCTATTCTTCAGGAAAAGCAACTGAAAAGCCTGTGCTCTTCAGCCTGGGAATGTAAGGGCTAAAAGGAAAGTGCCCAAAGGAAAGGTAATTAAACATGCTTATGGAATTGTCCACCAAACTCCGAAAATTAGAGCCGGGGAAACTTCTAGAAGCTTGAAGGGCATAAAAAATCCTATAGGTTCCAAAAGAGTTTAGGTAAACCCGTAAGAGATAGACCCAAAACAAGTTGAAAGGAAATTGCTAAAGACTGTTTACTCAGGCATGACACAAAATAAAAAACCTAATTCTATATTTAAAAAAAAATTCAAACCTCAAAAATAAACACACTATCATCTCACAGAAAAAAAGAGCCCAATAATTGAAAAGAAAATTCACAAAACAGTTAACCAACATAGGAATCAACATCACTAACAATTTTTTCAAGTACAGTAAAATAAGATAACATATGTTGCCTATCAATAAGAAAAAAAGATTTTAAGGTGAATTTCTCTTGTTGGTAAGAGTTGAATGAAAGAGACATTCTTGTATACTGCAGGTAGGATTGAAAGTTCACATAACCTTTCTGGAAAAAGTCTGGCAATATGTACTAAACCCTTTGTCAGTATAAGTCTAAGAAGAAGTCTTAATAAACAAGCTGCAATACTGGCAAAAATGTATTATTTATTTGGGGCAGATGTTCCTATTTATAAAGGCATTTTTATCTATAAACACATTCTTATTTATAATGGCACTGTTATCTATAAAAGCAAAAAACTGGGAACAACTTAAATGTCCAAAGTAAGACTGATTTAAGTAAATTACGGTATAATCACACAATGAGATATTATGGAGCTATCTAATACGCAAACATTTTAACAAGGAGATATGTTTATGTTAGAAAGTTAAGCCAAAAAAAAACAAATCAAGATCAAATGGTATAGACAGAATGTTCCCAGCGTATTAAAATAATAAACACAGAAAAAGACTAAATGGAAAGACTCCAAAAATTTTCACAGTGATTGCTTCTAATCACATGTAGGACTATGGATGATTTTTTCTTCTTTACATTTTTTGTACTATCTAATGTCTTCGAAATGGCTGTGAATTACTATTTTTATAATCAAGAAAAAGAAAACTGAAGGAAAAGGAAAAAAGAGAGAGGAAGTTGTGGTTATTTCAAACAGCTCCCTAGAAGTTGATAACAACTTGATGACTCCATGAGGAGCCAGACTGTTGAGATGACTCACTCATTGTCTTCATCCTTAGGTTTTTATAAGGGAGGCTAACACATACCGAAGCTTCCAAGTAAGAGATACGTGTGAAAATGGAATGCAAGGGCGTGAGAAGGACTGATGGGCCAAGTCAGGAGCTAGAGAAGGGTGGTAAATGGGGTTATAAAATGTTTAGCCTGAAAGTCCACCTTCAGGATAAAATAACCAGAAGGGAAAATGAAGCACCTTGTCAACAAAACCAACTGGAAAGACCTGTCTCTCCTGCACTGT